TTTCATTAGTTAATTTAACATATTTCCTTAATTTTCCAATAAGGAAATTATATTTTATAATTTAAAATAACAGATGCTTTTGCAACAAGACGTGTATGAGACGATATTGGTGGATATTTCTCCCCTTTTTTTCCCTTTAATGCGTTATTCTATTAAATGACATGATATTCAAATGTTATTAGAGCGTTAATTATATTGGCGGATTTTACCCCATTCAAATAAATTATATTATTTGTTTGAAATAATTAATTTAAACATTTCATGCTATATTTACAGCTTTTGCCTTCAGAATACTATATTAAGTTTTTAAATGATTATATATCATCGATATAATAATATAATTTTGCCTTCTGAATTTTCAAACGGTATTATTTTTATAAAACCGATTTTTTAGAACCGAACCGAATTTTAAAAAATCCCGAAAAACCGAAATGTTTTAAAGAAATTTCTTTTTTTTTTAAATAAAAATCGGAACTAAACCGAATCATAACCAAAGGTCCAAAACTGAAATGAACCGAAGTTAATATAAAAACTAATTGGTATCTATTTTTGTAAAATCGAAAAAACCGAATCGAAGCATTCCCTTCATGAACCTGAACCGATTTTTGAAACACCCCATATATACCATGCACGAATACTTTCATTGAAAAAGTGGCTTCCCACTATAATACAAGCTTCCATATGGTTAGGCAATCTATCCATGGCTTCAATTTCTCTTCTTTTATTCTTTTTTTTTATTATTAATATAACTTCAATTATTTTGGTGGCATTTGGACAATTCCTCCATCAAGACCCTTTCTTCATCACACGAAATCTCGTACGTGCGAATATGGCATTATATTATATGCAGAGAGGTACGTTTATACACGTTGACGCACCAAATTGTTAGACAAATTTAAACACAGATGCGTCATCGAAATATAAGCGGATGCCCATTTTTAAGACAAGTTTGACAAGTTGATCGACACATTTGACGAAGACACTTCATTTAACTCTTATATATATATATATACTGTGTGTGTATATACGTCATTCTACCAAACCACTAAAAGTGATATGGTGTGTTACAATAATTATGTGATATAAATGGTCATTCTCTAAAATATAATTTATAAATTAGAACAAAACATATATATATATATATATATATATATTAATGTTGTCAAAGTTATCTTATGTATCCACTCTTAAAAAGTTCGATAAAGCGGATACAGATGTATTAGAACCGAACACATACACCAGTTAATCGCACAAATGACAAAAAGAGGAGAAAGAAGAGAGCAGCCTGATCACCTTTTATTTATTTATTTAGTAAAGTATGTATATATATATATATTGGGGGACCATGGTATGATAATTACATAAAACCACCAAACTATATACATACCATCATGTGCATAAATGAATTTTATATATATCTTTATTATTGCATGGTCCACGACCACAACTACCTAAAAAAAATGACAGGGGGAGAGATCAAAACAATAACAATAAGATAACTTATTTCCAATACTATTAAAATTAATTATAATTATAATTATTCAATTTATGTTTTATAACATTGATATTAATTTTAGTATAGATTGATTTAAATTAATATCATTGAGAAACGAGTATTATCTTTGCCCACTCCACATTGTTTTTTTTTTGTAATAGCAAAGTTGGTGGGAGAAAGAGTTATGTTTCATGTGCCAACTTTATAACCTAATTAGGTGGTTAGTGTAATCAAATGTTAGATCTTGAATTTCAATTGAATCCCTATAGCCAAAGTACCACTACCAAACCTTTTTTGAAATGTCTAATTTTGATAACACGACTCATATATATATATATATATATATATATATATATATATAT